ATGTAATTAATACAATTAGTAATTGTATTATACGTTGATTAGTAATTGTACTACACTAATCATCCATGGTCGGTAATTGTCAATTACTGACTATTGCCGATGTTTTCAGTCACCCAATTGAGCTAAAATCTTCGGAATTTTGTAAATATGCAAAAACGTGATCCGGAAATATGCTTTAAAAATAGGCAAATTTCCATAGGCGAATCGCAATTCGGCAACGAACAGCACAACCAGGTCCTACGCAAGCCTATGCAATAGAACGTTACTGATTGATTAATATTATATTAATATTACATAAAAAAACAATAAAGTTTGTGTCGCTGAGTGACTAATTATTTGAGAAAGTCAAGCATTTGTGTATGTGTGTGACGTTAATTTCATGGAGTTAAAACTTTTTGTATAACTGAGAACAGAGGTTAGAGGAACTACTGATAAGAGTATGATTAGACTGTGTTGCGTTATCAGTTGACTTTTTGCATCACTCTTCTAGATTATACGTAATAGGGTAACTTAGTTATAGAATAGGATTTTAGTTGTTGCAAGCATTGCACTAAGGTTTTAAGTTAGGTAAGTAGGCCACGAACTGTTGAGCAAACTGGGCTGGAAGCCCAAGCAATATGCAGTTCTGGTCTTGAGGCTATTTTACAATGTTTTATAACATGTGCTTGCAACTAGATCTTGAATGTCGCGTGCCCCACGGGGATTTGATTTATTCATACAATTTATTATATATTGGTTCCAAAGCCCTTATGGGTACCAGCAAAAACTGGTTTTCAAACAAACAGTTGAAGTACTAGTTCAACATGGTGCAGTTCATTTTCACCAGGTTAGACACTCAAAATTTCAATTTGTGTGTTGTAATTAGTCATTGCCGTTTTAAGCATGTAAACTTGGAATCATTCTCACAATTATTGTAATAAGAGTTTGTGTAACTTTAAATGTTGGTAAAAATATACTGCATCATGTTGAACTGGTAAGTAGTTCTGGGTAAAACCATGTCCGTCCTTGTGTACACCGCAAGTGCCTGCTACTGTAACATAAATTTCTTGTCAGAGAATTCGTGTCCTAGTTTCTGTTTTCAAACACTTACCGGAGCACATCAGGGCTGCCAGTCGTCAGAATAAATTTAATTTAGCTGTTAGTATGATTGTTATATTATTGTGGTGTTCGTAACCTACCTTCATTGTGTTTCTTTTGACTTTGTTATCATGCTCTGCTCTGGAAATTGTGATAGTACCTGTTTGATTTGTTAAAGAAACGATCTCCTTGTTGTTATGTTGCAGGATCAGAATGTTCGTGAGGAACAGTCACCAAAAGTGAGTTGCTTACCTGCTGTGTGTTTTCGTACTCTGGTCATCACTCAAGTTGCAAAGCTGCACTAAACGTATCGCAAAGAAAATTTCTATCTAAAAATTGTGTTAGTACAGTTTGATCAGTTAAGGTGAGGATTGCCTCGATCTTTCGGTTTCAGCCCTAGGTCAAGAGCTGTAGAACCGAAGAATCAAAATATATGTTGCTTGTTGCTCGCATTCTAAACAAAGCGCAAGCTGACGAGTAATATCGCAAATATTTGATTTTGAGTTATTTGATGAAGCCTTAATAATTGATAGTAGGTTAATCAGAATGTTTGATAATGAATACTTATATTCATCATAGTTACCACAAACCACCAGATTTTATAATTTCTCCCAAAATTAGCCGTTACGTAATGGGGGATATTTTAGCGTGAGCGGATCAGTTAAGTCATCACTGCAACATGATGTCAAGCGTCAACTTGCCACACAACATTTGGTCTTACTTTAGGCTATGATGCATGATTGATCATTATAAAACTGCATTTTAGAAAAATTATGCAATGAATTTGCGATAAAATAGCAAACATTTTAATAACACGTTATTCGATTCAATACCTTTATGTCTTACTTTACAAATTTACCATTTTCAACCCCTTTTTTAATACAAATTTAACTACCAAACTGTATTCCCTAATTTGAATACCACCCTCTAAATGTTCGATAATTGTCACTATCCAGCGCTAGTTGTCGCCATCCAGCGCTAGTCGTCGCCATCCAGCGCTAGTTGTCGCCATCCAGCGCTGGTTGTCGCCATCCAGCGCTAGTTGTCGCCATCCAGTGCTAGTTGTCGCCATCCAGCGCTAGTTGTCGCTATCCAGCGCTAGTTGTCGCCATCCAGCGCTAATTGTCGCTATCCAGCGCTAGTTGTCGCTGGCTATGCGACACTGTCGCACGCGACAATTATCGAACATATATATCTTGAGAAAGGAGTTGGGCAAATACCCATACAAAATTCAGATGTTGCAAGAACAGACGGCAGCCAACAAGCAGCAAAGAGTGGACTTTGCCAAGCAATTTGCTAGAAAAATTGAGTCTGATCAAAACTTTTTGAACAACCTTATTGTCTCCGATGAAGCTCACTTCCAACTATCAGGGTGGGTTAATACTCAGAATGCCCGAATCTGGTCAGATAAGCAACCCTATGCCACCGTGGAAGGTCCAAAAACCAAAGAAAAAGTGACTGTTTGGATGGGCCTCAGTTACCATGGTGTCTTCGGACCCCACTTTTTCGAGAATGAAGAAGAGAAGGCAGAGACGATAAGGACAGCAAATTACATTGCTATGTTGCGTGGAAAAGTTATCCCAGTACTTAAAAGGAAAAAATACTTGATTCCTGTATATTCCAACAAGACGGGCCACTCCACACTGTTCGCACGAAAGTTTGGCTTGGCTGAAGGAGCATTTTGGGGAAAGACTGATATCGAGGAAAGCTGAGTTCAGCTGGCCTCCCTACAGCCCTGACCTGAATCCGGCCGATTTCTTTTTGTGGGGCTATCTGAAAGAACGTGTCTATTCAGACCTAGTCCCACAAACAGTAGATGAGCTAAAAAACAATATCAGAAGGGAGGCTAAAAAGTTAAAAATTTACATGGTAAAACGTGCAATAGACAATATGCTTCCGAGGGTTCAAAACCTTCTATGCAGAAAGGGGGCTTGGTTCGAAAAATTGTTAAAATATTAGATTTATTTTTGTTATGTATTTTGAAATGTAATAATTTGTCTACAATTTAAAACAAAAATTAGACCGTTTGTCTCATTTTTTAGATTTTGAGAGCCATTCAAAATTTGGACACGAGTCTTGCAACACCCTGTATTTTGCGCTGGCCAGCGTTATCCAGCGCTGGATAGCGACAACTAGCGCTGGATGGCGACAACTAGCGCTGGATAGCGCTAGTTGTCGCCATCCAGCGCTAGTTGTCGCGTTTTGACTATCGCAAAAGAACCTCAAAATGAGTTAATACGAAGGTCGATTTCTCGGTTATTTTTGAGCTTTCATTCAGAAAATAATTCGGGACCTTCAAAGGGGGGTAACAAGAAGGCGTTACAAGTGTTACAAGCCTTCGATAATACAAAATTTGCATCACATCTTCAACCTGCTGAATAGAGGCGCCACCTAAAACGTAAACAAACAATCATCACCTCTTTGACCTGCTTAATAGAGGCGCCACCAAAACGTAAACAAACAATGATCACCTCCCCGCCAGTATCCACATCTATAGTATACTACATGATATAGAATTGGAGAATTAATAAGCGCTATTTTGATAATTACGGGTGCTGATCTCAATTAAAGAATTAAGAGTCAAGGTACACAACCCCCTCAAGGTACACAACCCCCTCAAGGTACACAACCCCCTCAAGGTACACAACCCCCTCAAGGTACACAACCCCCTCAAGGTACACAACCCCCTCAAGGTACACAACCCCCTCAAGGTACACAACCCCCTCAAGGTACACAACCCCTTCAAGGTACACAACCCCCTCAAGGTACACAACCCCTTCAAGGTACACAACCCCCTCAAGGTACACAACCCCCTCAAGGTACACAACCCCCTCAAGGTACACAACCCCCTCAAGGTACACAACCCCCTCAAGGTACACAACCCCCTCAAGGTACACAACCCCTTCAAGGTACACAACCCCCTCAAGGTACACAACCCCTTCAAGGTACACAACCCCCTCAAGGTACACAACCCCCTCAAGGTACACAACCCCCTCAAGGTACACAACCCCCTCAAGGTACACAACCCCCTCAAGGTACACAACCCCCTCAAGGTACACAACCCCCTCAAGGTACACAACCCCCTCAAGGTACACAACCCCCTCAAGGTACACAACCCCCTCAAGGTACACAACCCCTTCAAGGTACACAACCCCTTCAAGGTACACAACCCCCTCAAGGTACACAACCCCCTCAAGGTACACAACCCCCTCAAGGTACACAACCCCCTCAAGGTACACAACCCCCTCAAGGTACACAACCCCCTCAAGGTACACAACCCCTTCAAGGTACACAACCCCCTCAAGGTACACAACCCCCTCAAGGTACACAACCCCCTCAAGGTACACAACCCCCTCAAGGTACACAACCCCCTCAAGGTACACAACCCCCTCAAGGTACACAACCCCCTCAAGGTACACAACCCCCTCAAGGTACACAACCCCCTCAAGGTACACAACCCCCTCAAGGTACACAACCCCCCTAAGATCACAACTGGAACGAGTACCAAATACCAGTGAGTGGTGTTTCACCACCCACTGTTTGTGGCCCAGTACCTGACATCTGTTATTTTGTTTTTCAATTGCTATGGTGCTCATGAGTCCTCATATCATGAATTGTCTATCTCAATTAAAAATGAACTTGTAATAAAAATTTGCATAAGCTTTGAACTTTCTGCAGAGTCGATTAGATATACATGTACATCTGACATCTGGAAATGGATATTCATATTTCGTATTACCGTATCAGTGATTTTTAATTTGATCCTATTAAATATAATTATATATGCACTATGCAGCCTGTTGAAGTCAAATTTTCAAATTTTATACTTTGTTTAATTTTAGACATTTTTTTAGTATTTCAGTGTTAATTCATTAAAGTGATAATTTTATAGTTTTATATTATAATCATTGAAAAGTATTTTTAGAAATTGAAGGTGAAAACAAATATAAATATTTTTGTGGTAAAATTCTCATCATAGATAGCAAATAATTTCAAACGCATGATAAATATCAACGACGAAAATAGTGACTTCGGAATTTGAGCAGCTGATAGTAACGACCAAATCACACCAAAACCGACAATTTTAAAATCAGTCAAACAAAATTTCTTGGCATCATTAAATGGTTCCTTCATCATTTTGACAAACATACCAGCAATTACCGATGAATTTGTGAATCTCTTATAAATGCTGTCATACAATTATTCGATCGGAAATCAATCTCAGATATAAGATCATCAGTCCGACATATTATCACGGCACATATTCTTCATATCATCTACATGAGTCATAATATATTCTTCACATCATCTACATGAGTCATAATATGTTCTTCACATCATCTACATGAGTCATAATATGTTCTTCATATCATGTACATGACTCGTACATGAGTTTCACGTTTTTCCACAGTGGCTCCACAGCTAAGATGAGAAGTACGGACTCGTTTTAGGAGATGTACTAACTGTTGCAGTTGTAGGTGTAGTAAACGTTGGTGCAGTTCTGACACACAACCTCACAGCACCACTGGAACTGGCACCTGAGTAATTAAAAAGAGGAGTTTTAAGAGTTGCATTTTATAGCATTTTATAACATTTGTATAAGTTGCAGTAAATTCCGCAAGATATCACATCCTGGTTTCTATAATTGTGAAATTCTTGAGAGTCGAGTGAGATCACGATTTTGTCTGAGTCATGAATCAATGGCGTGAGTCGGATGTCAATGGCGAGAAGTTCTAATACGGATATTTTAAAAAAGATACTTGTTTGAGCTTGTTTTTTAACCAGGTTGTTTGGTTGCTTAGAAATAGAAACTTTAGTCGTGTGTCACTGTAGTTTTTAAGCAGTTCAGATATTGTAATAGACACGGACAATAAACGTACTTATCAGACAATAAATATCATTAACCAAATGTTCGCTTACTTGCAAGGGATGGTCTCCTCTATACGTTGAGCTGTGTAACCTCTCCCGCAACAAAGCGAGCTGCACGTCTCAGAGAGGTGGGTCGGGATCGTGGTGTTGTCTGGTTGGGGGAGGCACGGCCTTCCTTCCGTTCCTGATATACCTAGCGTTCTGTTCCTCTGGGGAGATTAATTATGTTAATATTTCAATAACTCTATCCCTGCAAGTCGACTGTTTCAAATTAATAATCTTCTGTTGAAAACCTATGTTCTACACAGGTTTAAAATGTTGAAGTAGTATTAAGAGTCGCCATTAAGAATACAAGGAATACAAGGAATTATGAATGATACAATTTTAATTGTAATTATGAAAATAAAATGTGTACAATCAAATAAGATCTCAAGACGAAAGGCTGGCAAAGAAGTAGTTGAAGTTATAATACAGATATATTTTCTGTTTAGGCTCCCTTGTACTTGTAGGCAGCTCTGGAGCTACGGGCCATCTTCTCCAGGGATTTAAGTTGGCAGTTCAGCTTGGCTCTGGTTTCGAAGTCCATCCCTTCCAAACATTCAGCGACCAATTCTTTGATAGGAATATCTGTCTCAGCTGCTTTCCTTTTTAGGATTTGCTTTACCAAATGGACCTGTGTTTCTGCGTACTGGACGTCATGAGTAGGATGGGCAGGGGTAGGAGAGATGAGCTGCCTGTTCTGTAGGATAATGCGAGCTTTGCACCCTTGGGAATGTAGAACACACTTCATGTAGGTCTTCGTGTTTCTGGATCTCTCCATTACGAATCTGTAGCCGTTGAGGATAACGTTTTCTTTGCCGGATATTCTCCCAGGAACGAATAATAGTGGAGTAGGATTAGTGTCAGATGTTGCCATGTTGAAAGGAGATTAACTGATAAAAGATGCTCTGATTCTAACACCTCACCATTTATACTGTAAACTGTAGTGAAACGAGACCCCTCATTCGCACGCTTGTTATCTCTGATCAAGCGATGTGATCTTCTGTGCTTCTCAGTGATTTTTAACTGATATAACCCGTTTTAGGATCATGTCTCCTTAGGATCACGTCCCTTTTTCACTTACTTCTCACAAATAGATATTTATTATTATTTCATTACACCCCATTAGGGGATTATGATATATCAATCCACACGCGCTACTCGACTTATTGTCACAGTCCACAAGCACTACTCGACTTACTGTCACAGTCCACACGCACTACTCGACTTACTGTCACAGTCCACAAGCACTACTCGACTTACTGTCACAGTCCACACGCACTACTCGACTTACTGTCACAGTCCACACGCACTACTCGACTTACTACACGCACTACTCGACTTACTGTCACAGTCCACAAGCACTACTCGACTTACTGTCACAGTCCACACGCACTACTAGACTTACTACACGCACTACTAGACTTACTGTCACAGTCCACAAGCACTACTCGACTTACTATCACAGTCTACACGCACTACTCGACTTACTGTCACAGTCCACACGCACTACTCGACTTACTGTCACAGTCCACACGCACTACTCTACTTACTGTCACAGTCCACACGCACTACTCGACTTACTGTCACAGTCCACACGCACTACTCGACTTACTGTCACAGTCTACACGCACTACTCGACTTACTGTCACAGTCCACACGCACTACTCGACTTACTGTCACAGTCCACACGCACTACTCGACTTACTGTCACAGTCCACACGCACTACTCGACTTACTGTCACAGTCCACACGCACTACTCTACTTACTGTCACAGTCTACACGCACTACTCTACTTACTGTCACAGTCTACACGCACTACTCAACTTACTGTCACAGTCCACACGCACTACTCAACTTACTGTCACAGTCCACACGCACTACTCGACTTACTGTCACAGTCCACACGCACTACTCGACTTACTGTCACAGTCCACACGCACTACTCGACTTACTGTCACAGTCTACACGCACTACTCGACTTACTGTCACAGTCCACACGCACTACTCGACTTACTGTCACAGTCCACACGCACTACTCGACTTACTGTCACAGTCCACACGCACTACTCGACTTACTGTCACAGTCCACACGCACTACTCGACTTACTGTCACAGTCCACACGCACAACTCTACTTACTGTCACAGTCTACACGCGCTACTCGACTTACTGTCACAGTCCACACGCACTACTCGACTTACTGTCACAGCCCACACGCACTACTCGACTTACTGTCACAGTCCACACGCACTACTCGACTTACTGTCACAGTCTACACGCACTACTCGACTTACTGTCACAGTCCACACGCACTACTCGACTTACTGTCACAGCCCACACGCACTACTCGACTTACTGTCACAGTCCACACGCACTACTCGACTTAATACTGTCACAGTCCACACGCACTACTCGACTTACTGTCACAGTCTACACGCACTACTCGACTTACTGTCACAGTCCACATGCACTACTCGACTTACTGTCACAGTCCACACGCACTACTCGACTTACTGTCACAGTCCACACGCACTACTCGACTTACTGTCACAGTCCACACGCACTACTTGACTTACTGTTACAGTCCACACGCACTACTCGACTTACTGTCACAGTTCACACTCACTACTCGACTTACTGTCACAGTTCACACTCACTACTCGACTTACTGTCACAGTCCACACGCACTACTTGACTTACTGTCACAGTCCACACGCACTACTCGACTTAGTCTTACTGTCACAGTTCACACTCACTACTCGACTTACTGCGCCACTTCATTTTTAGGACTTCCTATTTATCGTGAATACCATATGTCTGTGATTTCAGAGGTTTAGCCACCAATTTTAGGTCCGGATGATCTTTAAAACGGTTTTAAAAAAATCATAAAATCAAATATAAGCTTAATACTAATATTGATATAGATAATCATTGAAGAATTTAGTCGATATCTTTACTTACAGTACAAAAGTCAGGTGACTCGTCGATGAAAGCAAGTTTGGTAGATTTAGTTGGCGAGAATACTGATCTGACCTTTACTGCTTCCTTGTATCGCTTGTACAGCTGTCGACCTATCTGAGGTACATCGTGTCACTAAACTAACACGTGATGCCCATATAAGGAGCTAAACTCAAATCTCCATTAATATCAGGAAGTTTGTGGGATTGAAAAGTACAAGCTCGTACTTCTCCGCATTTTCCGGGAAATACAGCCGTTAATTGGGTTTCGTTTGAGGTTTATCTGGCTGTTCTCATGGCAAGTTGCAGACATGTTGTGGTTTACAAATCAATGAAATTAAAGAAACTTCAGCTACATCTGTAACATCCATTAATGGTGTCTGATGTGCTCCTGTCAAATGGCTGGTTTCAACGGGACCAGGTAAGGGGTAAGACCCCTTTAAAGTTGAGTGTAGTACACACCTTACCTCTTGAAAGGAAAGGGATAAGGCCCCTTTAAAGTTGAGTGTCGTACACACCTTACCTCTTGAATGGTAAGGGGTAAGGCCCCTTTAAAGTTGAGTGTAGTACATACCTTACCTTTTGAAAAGTAAGGGGTAAGGCCCCTTTAAAGTTGAGTGTAGTACATACCTTACCTTTTGAAAGGTAAGGGATAAGGCCCCTTTAAAGTTGAGTGTCGTACACACCTTACCTCTTGAATGGTAAGGGGTAAGACCCCTTTAAATTTGAGAGTAGTACATACCTTACCTTTTGAAAAGTAAGGGGTAACGCCCCATTAAAGTAGAGTGTAGTACATACCTTACCTCTAGAAAGGTCAAGGGTAAGACCCCTTTAAAATTGAGTGTAGTACATACATTACCTCTTGAAAGTTAAGGGTTAAGGCCCCTTAAAAGTTGAGTGTCGTACATACCTTACCTCTTGAAAGGAAAGGGGTAAGGCCCCTTTAAAGTTGAGTGTCGTACACACCTTACCTCTTGAATGGTAAGGGGTAAGGCCCCTTTAAAGTTGAGTGTAGTACATACCTTACCTCTTGAATGGTAAGGGATAAGGCCCCTTTAAAGTTGAGTGTAGTACATACCTTACCTCTTGAAAGGTAAGGGGTAAGACCCTTTAAAGTTGAGTGTAGTACATACCTTACCTCTTGAAAGGTAAAAGGGAAGGCCCCTTTAACGTTGAGTGTAGTACATACCTTACCTCTTGAAAGGTAAAAGGGAAGGCCCCTTTAAAGTTGAGTGCAGTACATACCTTACCTCTTGAAAGGTAAAAGGGAAGGCCCCTTTAACGTTGAGTGTAGTACATACCTTACCTCTTGAAAGGTAAGAGGGAAGGCCCCTTTAAAGTTGAGTGCAGTACATACCTTACCTCTTGAAAGGTAAGGGGTAAGACCCCTTTAAAGTTGAGTGTAGTACATACCTTACCTCTTGAAAGGTAAGGGGTAAGGCCCCTTTAAAGTTGAGCGTAGTACATACCTTACCTTTTGAAAGGTAAAGAGTAATGCCCCATTAAAGTAGAGTGTAGCACATACCTTACCTCTAGAAAGGTAAAGGGTAAGACCCCTTTAAAATTGAGTGTAGTACATACCTTACCTCTTGAAAGGTAAGGGTTAAGACCCCTTTAAAGTTGAGTGCAGTACATACCTTACCTCTTGAAAGGGGGCCACCTGTTTGTAACAGATGTAGGTGGTGCAAGATCCCGACATTCCGTAACACGTGCATTTCGTCCGGGCTGTCATGTCCACCATCTGAGAAAGCAAGTGTTATCTGAGGAAGCAAGTGTTATCTGAGGAAGCAAGAGTTATCTGAGGAAGCAAGTGTTATTTGAGGAAGCAATTGTTATCTGAGGAAGCAAGTGTTATCAAAAGGGATCTAGTTCAGTACAAATAAACCTTTGTTTGTTTGTATTAATCATCATTCTCGTATTCTGTTATTTTGGTGCGCTCTGGAACTTATGATATTTATATAGTGAACGACAGAATTTGTTACTTTCACAAAACCGCGAAATTTCGGCCGTTTCCCATACGGTAAAATGGACCCAAAGATTTATAGCTACCTGTCTTCCCGCGTTGTTGTTGTGGATATTAACCGCGGACCTGATGAGCTCCTCCTTGGTTCTGTGAACTGAAATCCCTGGCGGAGAGTGGGTGTTCTGGGGACTGTCTAGATACTGCCTTGCAAACAGGATCCCATACCTGATGTTATCGTCACACGCCGAACCTGTGATGAGCAAGATTGGTTACCCTCCGCAAGCAATTGCAACACTATTAATACTTATAACATTGATCAACAGTCCGTATTTGCCGTCCATGGTAATAGCGATTGCATAAATCCTTTTCTGTCCTTTTGCAAGGGGTCTCAAAGGGTTAATACGGTTGAAATAACTGTAACTTACTGTATTCGTTATTAACACCACAGCCACAAGATCTGATGTTTCCATCCGCACAAGCTTGTGCTATTTGGTGGACTATCGCTGCTGACCCTATTGCAGTCACGTAGCTCGTTTCCTTGGTCACTGAAATACCTCCAGGATTAGATTTACTCGGTGTCATGGTAACTTACAGACTTGCACGTGACACTGATGTCTGATATGTTTTAGGTATGGGGGCATTGGGGGGCCTTGTTCTAAGGTAATCATCTTTAGTTGCTTGTTTTTCTTGAAGAACAATGTAAGTTTCTTAGAACATGTAGGTCATTTCCCATTAACAATATAGATAGACAGGTTGAAATCCAGTTCGGGAGACAGAGTATCTCAGTGTTAGTAAACTCAACTAACAAGGAGCCTAATATTAAAGTTTGCACGAATATCTTACTCCTTATAATGCACTGTAAAGTAGCTGTATTTATATATTTATGTCTATATCCGCTTGCTTTATCCGAAATCAACTTTATGGAAGGCGCGAAATGGAGTGTTCAAGCCCCGGCTGGGTGGTTTGAATTATTTTTACTGTCTCAAAAATCAAAACAGACTTCTATTTTCAAAGCAAGACTAATAGTCCGCAAGACGGGCATACCGTTAGTATATCTAATTCATTTCATAATAAAAACGTTTGGGTGATGAGAGGAGAAATTTTGGGGTCTGGTGAGAGTTTAGTAGGTCTGGACAATGAAATGTGGGTGGAACTCTGCCACAACAACCTGTAACACACTACCTCGAATCGAGCGTGAATTATAGGTCATCGCCAGTATTTTTCAGTTAATAATTCAATATATAGCTACTTTTCCGTTCAAATTCACTGTCCCTATGTACAGTATAAAACTACCTATTTTCATTACAGTGACAAGTAGATATACGTTGCACGATTATTTTAGGGCTCGGTCTCGGAAGTGAGAGTGACAGTTGGCTGCTAGAAAGAGCAGTATGTAATGAGGTAATCTGGCCCACTCTCCCTCTCTCAGCTCTGTCGGCTGTCACTAAATCAAAGATTTGGAGATCGTTAAGATCCCGGAAGTTGCACTTGTTCTTGTCCGTTCAATTTGTCGACGGATTCTTTGTAAGCTCATATTTTATAATAGCTGTTAACGATATGTAGGCTGACTGTTAAACAGTTGCAACATGTAATAAAGGATGTTCACAGAGACACTGGTGTTATGAACTCGAGTTGATAATATTTTACTTTAGTCTCTATTAACGTTTTAGTGATTGCATTATTAACCATTAACACTTGAGGTGGTGGCATTTAGGATCGAATCACAAAACGAATGATCTCCGTTACTCGAGTGTCGGCGGAATTTGTGGAAACCATATCTTATAAAGTTGTATCTCAAAAAGTCACGATTATGGGAATAAGTCGTTCATCGAATCTTTTTAGAAATACAATCGGGAGTTTATTGGAATTGTATGAGTGCATGAATACACAATTTCTTTCTGCGTTTACAATTAATGAAACCCGCATTATAGAATAAAACCTAACGGTTCATTCCATTTCAAGAGAAACGCACAGCCATGGAATAACTCTGGGCGCCGTCTTGATTTTTTGAACATTTAGTTCTCGATATCGAGAGATTTAATTTCGTATTTTTGTATGCTATAATGCCATTACCAAACAGTTGCGCGACGCCAATGTGACCTCTCAAAATTGTCAAATTAGTGATCTATATTTTGGGGTGGCTCCCCGGAGTAAAATTAATCATGATTCCCGCTCTGCAGTGTCACTAATCGCTCAAACTCTGGGAATGCTATAGTTGGGGAGGGTATGAGGAGTTTTAGGCAAATTCAGTGAATCACATTAGAATTTTACTGATGGGCAGTTAGAGGAAGCATCTGAACTTTGATAATGTTAGAGCAATCAGCCATCCCCCTACAACTAGAAAGGAGATTGTGAAATAATGCTGTTATTACATACCGTAGCGAGGAGAACAGGTAATTTCTATGTAAATAAAATTTAGCAAAAATATCCAAATTTTTGATGAGCAGAGAGGCCGAGTTGATATCTCGCATTCCAAAATCAGTCGAGTAGAGCTAAATACAGGGTGTACCATAGAAAGTGTGACTTTTTTGAGAAATGATACAAAATATTATGAAGAAGCAGTATGTAATATACTGAAACTTACTAGCATTGAGGCTGAGGACGTTGTTGACGGAACAGTTCCAGGGGTTGTACTGAAACTCAGTTCTGCACTGTTGGTGAGCCATGCTTGCTGCTGTTATCAACTTCGACCTCGTTTCTCCTGTAAAACAATAACTTTTAGTTACACCAAAACTACAAGTACCTGCAGTGTGATCCAAAGTTTCGCGAGTCCAGGAGACTTTATTATATGTTTTGTCAAACTGTTTCTATTGTAGTAATTTTCACCTGCCATGATTCAAAAACCTCCTCATAAAACTAGTAGTAAGTTATCACCAATTCTGCGGGGTTTCAATGGTTCAGAGGTTAACTGTCTGCTTACTTGTTAAGATAACTTCGCGGAACTGAGTGAGCTGTTATAGACTGCGGGGCAGATAACAAGTACTTGTGAAGTAACCTAGTAACCTAGTAACCTAGTAACCTAGTAACCTAGTAACCTAGTAACCTAGTAACCTAGTAACCTAGTAACCTAGTAACCTAGTAACCTAGTAACCTAGTAACCTAGTAACTAGATAACTTCGCGGAACTGAGTGAGCTGTTATAGACTGTCAAAGCGAGGCAGATAACAAGTACTTGTGAAGGCGGAAGAAAGTACTTGTTTCCGCCTTCACAAGAAGAAATCAAAACAAATACGGGCAATGGTTCTGGACTTGTCAAATACTTACATCATTCATGCAGCATTCAGCAGCCAGCACTATGAAAACATGTCACAGTCTACACGTTATTCTAAATAAACTGTAATTCATTTAAAGAAATATGTGTACATTTTCACCTGCCGATAGTTCTTCGGACGAAGTGAAATCAATAAAATCGCAGCCACGCACCAAGACCTCGCAGTGACTGGGCCGAACACGAACACGAAACCAAAGCCCAAAACTTAATCATACGCGGAAAGGGGTTAAAATTTAAATTTAAAGGGGTGTCAACTTTGAAGAGTCTGTTCCCCATGTCTTTAAAATTAAATGTTAGTTCCAATGTTAATTTCAAGGCCATTTTTTATAATTTGTTACAATTCATAGCAATCCAGACGCGATCGGAGTTGCAGATATTTACAATAATTATATATTATATTGTCTTCAGCCGAAAGTTAGCCTCATTTACTTAAACTTAGTCATCGGCCAATGAAGAAACATGTGCTACTCACTCTGCTGGTTACAAAGTCCCCTCTGATAGCTGTTCAGATCTGTAAGTTCTTCACACGGGGACTTCCCCTTGTCGCCCTGCAGTCCCTCGATCCTGGTCATTTTAATTAGTTATCTAATTTATTAATTAGTATATATATACTATATGAGCAGTCTCTCGATCCTGGTCATTTTAATTATCAGTCTAGAGTAGAATTTAAGCGGCTACGTTACCGGTTACTATGATAAAGGGGATTAGATCGAAATGAATTTAAACGAAGAACAGTATGTTTTCCCTTTCTAGTGTTTTGGTTCGTTTATGGTTTTGGCGAAAATTGACAAAGTCCAATTTGGTATTATTTGTTTTTGTTTCTGCAAATGCTCATGTTTAGGTTATTTTTTAATAATTTTCAATCTTGGCCGTAATCGCGAAATTAAAATTGGGATAGGCTCTGACGATAAGAATTGTTATTTTTGGTAACTGTGAATTATATAGTCATTACTGATAACTTATGAACGGCGCCTCCGTTCTTAAAATATCCCAAATCCAAGATGGCGATAATATCTGCAAAATGCTTATCACAACTTCAAAAGGTATGATTTAAGAAGCGGGAAGTAATAACAAACAAAGATTTTGCACGGAACATTTCGCCAGACTTTGCAGCGCTTTTGCCTAATTTTCACAGCTTTTCTTTGTACCGTTTCTCAAAAGACATAATTTAATGACTGTGATACATGGCATAGTGGTAATAGAAAAACGTGATCTTATGTTTTTATTCTCCTACCGATTTGCGAATTCTGCAAATTCTGCAACAGAAATAGAAAATAACGCCAGAAGATACTATCTAAATATGAAAAATATGTTTTTATACTTACAACCAGGGCTTAGCCAGGTATCGCGCGATGGTGATCCCAGTCACTTGTATACAGAGGAAAACTAATAAAAGTTGAGGCATATGCCCATCGCAAAAATTAGCACATTAATGTTTCAAACTATATTTAAATTAAATCAGAGCATAATGTATCGGCAAATGGCAGATGTATTACTGGTTGGGAGAGAGACTGAGCGAGAAGGCGCTCTGCAACTGGGAGACGGCGCGGGCTTGTCTGATTGGAGGAAAATCTTCTATCACGTGACCCAGCACGTGATCCGTCACGCGTGAGCCGTCACGCACTGTGCCACAGATCTAACGTGAGCCTCGGACCTGCTCGGACCGGATACTGCTGTCTGTGCCACTGCAAATACAGAGCAACCGGGCAGGGTGGGAGCAGTTGGGGGACAACTTTGACGGACATTCAGGTATCATGAGCATAATGACGACATTATCATGAGCATAATTACTGTCTGAGTCATTGTGCTGCTGTCTGATAGCCTACAATTGTTATTAATGCCAATGTGTGGAAAGTAATGGGATTAAGGAAGTGGGAACGAAGGAACTAAACCAATTTTTGGTAAAATTGAGATTAAGAAATTTCCATGAAAACACAATTATCTGTTTTCCGTTGAATTGGCTCATTTCATGGCATTCGTCATTTAATTGTAATTACGACATCTATCGTTATGACATGCAATCATAATTCGACATTTAATTTGGTAATTGGGGAAATAAATAGCCAAAATTGAGAATATAATTGATTATTAAGATGGTCATCAAAACCTCAAAATCAATCCATAATTTCGGTAGATCTTAAATTCAATGCATAAAATGTTGTTTTCTAAAAATAATCCAGAAGTTAGAAATGACAGGATCAAATTCCTGATTACATATCATCCATGTCCAATCCCTTGATCTTCTACTTTCGACAGAAAGAACAAGCATTTCTGCATTCGTAATAGCTCAGGACCCAGTCGCTGTCATGCTTCTGTTTTCGCTATTTTTTCTTACTACGTGCCTGTAAACAGTTAATTTTGTATAAAATGTAATGTTCTATTATTTAACACATACGATATGGCATATAGTGTTACCTGCAATTATATCCACTAACTTCATAGTTTATCCCGATGATAATTTATATCGGGGAGTAACACAGTCATTTTTGGAATTTTCATCCAAAATAGAAACTGCGAATCCGCTATATTTCAGGTCCCCCTCCCTCAACCCTTTTTTACTGCTGCAGTAAAAAGTACTACCCAGTGTCCCTCCTGTTTACTGGTAAAATTACTACCCACTAACCTAGTGACAGTAAGGGGAGTGGTTCTCCGTCCTCTGAGGGGGGTTCTACCCCCACACGATGAACACCCCGCTCTTTTAGTCGAACTTGTTCTAGACACCGAGTTGTCTTCTGAGCAGCTTCGTGAAATCATATGTTCCTGAAATAAGTCAGAGATTACAGTCAGTAGGACCAACTAAACTGTCCAGGCCTCAAAACAGTCAGTCTAAAAAAAAATCTGTTTCGCATGAACGCCAGATTGTCTCACCTCAATAAGCATGTTGAAAGTTGTGTCCAATTCATCAGACCAGCCCAGATCTCCGGAATGTATAAGCTCTGTTATCTTCTTGTGAGTTTCCCTCATTGCAACCCAGCCTTTCTTCACTATGTTAGTGAAGATCAGCTGGAGCAGCTTCAACCGCCCTGATCGCTCCACTTCCGTCACTCTGACAGATTGGGCAGCATTACTGATTGTGGTTAGCTGTCTCTAAGTTAAGATCTAATAATTTGATGATCAATTCTTAGATTGCGGCCTTTTTGAAATGGAAACCTGTCAGAACTATAAACTATTTCATTTCGATCTTTACTGAGCCCTATAGTATGATCGATTAAGCAGCGAATGAGCATGCAAGCATAAATACCCTAGAAATACCTCTCATCGCTAAGCATGGCGGTGTATCCCTGCATGAACATATCTAGAGAAAGATCCTCATATTTGGGTCGGTTAGCACCGTAAAAGAACATCTCAGGAGTTAGCAGCACTTCAGAGGATGGCATTTTGGAGGGGGTTCCAGATACTTTTACAGATACGAACTGGTATTTGGGGCGTGATAGTACCTGAACTATCGTTGCTTCCTCTGAAACAGTTTATCCGAACTACACTCACATTTTATACCATAAACAATGTACACAACAATGTACACAAGGTACACAATGTACACAATGTACACAATGTACACAACAATGTACGAGTCAACATGAATTTTTGATGATTGCTAGTTGATTGGGTTTGCTTGTTTGGGTTTGAAAATCAGGCTACAAATTGTTTTCCAACCTTCAGTTTCAAGGTTGCTCTGGTCGCTAGAGGTTTCATCTTCAACTGATTCACCATTCTCCGACACCGACCTATCATTCTCATTGTCTGAAACCTTTAAGGGAAAGTACTCCGTTGGTTAAGAATTTTTGACTGTTTTTAAACAAGATTAATGGCAATATGTTTGTGACAGTTGAAGATTAAATTTGATTTTATACGAATTTTAATTTTTTAAATAAGATCAATATTTGGCGGCAAAAACAAAAAGTGCGAAAGTTTCTGAACCATTATTCCTCCGGGAAACCGTACCATGTTCCGACAGCTGTTCCGATGATCGTTCTTAGCGGCTGCTTGGAGCACTTTCAACATTTCCTCCCTTCTAGACTCCTCGATTGTATTCTCCATCTTACTCCGGCTAATCTGGCTGATACCCAGCAATTTCAACATCTGAGTCGGGCAATTACGGCAATTAGGCGACAGGCGTAGTACAATATGTTACAAATAACAATTTGCAAGAAAATGTAACGATTATCTTCGAAAACTGGTTTGATGTATCTTCCGGAAACTTGACAGCTGTAAGCTTATGAAATTGATTAAGAAGCTTAATTGACTCCACTAGAACTTTTGAGGAAGGATCAGCTCGAAAAAAGCTACTTGATTAGCTGGAGCAGAATGAACAGAAGAGGACTAAAGATCCGTCTATTTGTTGCTACTGTGGAGTCAATACTTCTCTATGGTTCTGAGGCGTGGACGTTGACAGAGCAATTGAAGAAACGCATTGATGGCTGCTACACTAGAATGCTAAAGATGGCACTTAATGTGGATTGGAAGCAGCGAAAAACCAACAAAGAAGTCTATGGCAACCTACCGAGAGCAACCATGAAGATCCAAGAGCGCAGGATGCGACTAGCAGGCCATATCCACCGGCACCCAGAACTAGTCGCAAACCGCTTGCTACTCTGGGAACCAACTCATGGGGTGCGGAGTAGGGGGAGACCAGCCATGACCTATGTTGATAGTCTACGAGCTGACACGGGTCTCAACGACACTGGAGAAATGGGCGGACTTATGGCAGATAGAGTTTTATGGAGACAGCGCATCAATACTCGGACGCTGAAGCCGCCTTAAGTCAAGTCAGAATGAACATCAACAATGAACATTTACAAAACGCATATGTGCCTTCATCGGTCAGTTGAAAGGTTGGTTGAAAATTTGGAAGAGAGAATGATAATTGAACATATTAGACCATATTATTTGGTCTACACAAGCTAACAAAACCATATTTGGTCTACACAAGCTAACAATACCATATTTGGTCTACACAAGCTAACAATACCATATTTGGTCTACACAAGCTAACAATACCATATTTGGTCTACACAAGCTAACAATACCATATTTGGTCTACACACGCTAACAATACCATATTTGGTCTACACAAGCTAACAATACCATATTTGGTCTACACAAGCTAACAATACCATATTTGGTCTACACAGGCTAACAATACCATATTTGGTCTACACAAGCTAACAATACCATATTTGGTCTCCACACGCTAACAATACCATATTTGGTCTACACAAGCTAACAATACCATATTTGGTCTACACACGCTAACAATACCATATTTGGTCTACACAAGCTAACAATACCATATTTGGTCTACACACGCTAACAATACCATATTTGGTCTACACAAGCTAACAATACCATATTTGGTCTACACAAGCTAACAATACCATATTTGGTCTACACAAGCTAACAATACCATATTTGGTCTACACACGCTAACAATACCATATTTGGTCTACACAAGCTAACAATACCATATTTGGTCTAGACAAGCTAACAATACCATATTTGGTCTACACAAGCTAACAATACCATATTTGGTCTACACAAGCTAACAATACCATATTTGGTCTACACACGCTAACAATACCATATTTGGTCTACACAAGCTAACAATACCATATTAATTGATCACCTCTAACACTTAAATCCTTGTAATAGTTTACCTTAACAAGGATTAGTAAGTAACTATTATTCCAGGAGAGACAATCTACAACTGCTACTGATTAAACAGATTCTGGTTCAATCATATCCCCCGCCAACTGGTCACTCGATTAGGACACATAAACATAAAATTAGGAACGGACCAGCAGTAACTGTAAAGAGCGAATTCAGAAAACTGAAATATTTCAGGAATGATTAGCTCCAAAATGTGTTCCATTTTGTCTGGTGTTGCTCTGTAAATATGCTTAAGAAACCTGCGTGTTACCATGACTACTAGTAACCTGCATGTCTTGATGATTGACGTCTCTTTTGATTGAACTCTCACTCTTAAGGGCGTCACTAATCCTCTGCTGTATTCCCCTCCAGAATCCACGCTCGATTATCAGATTGTCCATTATCTTATCTTTGTGGTTATTATCTGTCTGGAGATTCTGAAAGGTGTCAGGTATTACTTTTGTTGACATTGAGCTAACTTGCAAGTCAAACTTAAAAATATCCAAAATATTGTTCAGTAAAAATATCTTTCAGTATTAAGAAAGTTTAATAAGAAATCTATAATCTATTGTTACATCATAGAAATTCTTATGAATGACTCACTGTTCCAAAGTTTGAGCCGAGCAAAGTACCAAGATCTCGAAGGACTGCCACCATCTTAGAGATCTCAAAATCCAGGGTTGGCATGAAGAGTTTGGTCTTCTTGACAATAGCCTGTAAACACAGGGCCACCTTCTTCCCATCACCCACTATGAGATCCTCACTGTTGAACAATAAAGCATCCCCCACTCCAAAGTCTCCCGCCCATCTCACAAACTTGCTCACGTTCTCCCTCGCGTGGAATGAGAGAGGCTGGCACCTCGTGTGGTACTTCCCTACACCTGAACAGGAAGTCTGTTAAGTATATAAGAAAGTATTCTTGTGTAAATTTGTATTGATCCCGTTTGATGCAACAAGGAAAAATGCTCTTATCAGGGAAGGAATTACTCAACGTTTCAATGTTACAACATCGTATTCATGATCTCAAATTATTTGTTATATAGTAGTGTTGAAAGTATTAAAAATTATTGGTTTGTGCTTTTAGTGTTCGATCGTGATTGAAAGCAGGATTATACAGTTTTGATTTCTGTCTATAAATTCCAATTTTGCACTTGTAAAAGAACGAGTAGCACAGTCTAGGATACCCGGTTTGTTATTACAGAGGTCCTGTAACGAGCAGTACACAGTTTCAGCAACTAAAATATAACACTCACTTTTGGTTGGAAGTTTAATATCAGTGTCAGGATGTTCCTTCCTGTACCTCTGTGCTGCTCCGTTTATCTTGTTGGCTACTGAGCACAAGACTGTGCCGTTTCTCAGGGTATCCAGAAAGTTATCAGGTGTAACCGGGATACCAAGGAGCTGGGTCAGCCAGCTGATGTGTTTATTTGATCATTTTATTTAACGTATTTGAAGACATTATAACTATAAGAACAGTAGTATATTTATTCAATAATTAATAACTTATAAATCACCAAGTTCATTGCTGAGCAGCTATGATTTACCTAGCCAGATTCTCTATTAACTCCTCCAGTCTCTCTTCGTCATCTTTTCTCAGATCTTCCTTTGCCAGGTCCATATCCAGTTTATCAGCAATACTCTTCCTCCGAGATATCGGAGTCTGAGAGATAAGATTACTGTGACAGAAAGTATTACTTCCCAAGAGATGTAAAGCTCCTGAACCCATTCACTAGATTATATTGCTCACAGGGAATCTTCTTAAAGACATGTTACAGACATGTTCAAATCATGCTTCACAGAAAATGTCACAGTGAATTCATTGGCGAATGGCAATTTAAGGATGGGGAAGCGTGCATCTAGTAACCATGGTAACTGAATTGTCACTATGGTAACTGCGTGCCTAGTGAATGAATTCCAGAATCGTTACCCTCTTGGTACGAGTAGATGGGGTTCTGGGGATGGGGTGAGCACAGCAGCCCCCTAAATACCACCCCAACATTGTCTTTATTGTCAAACGTGACAGCTGAAACAATTTCTCATAGTTTTCTGCCAACACAAACAATCACTTCACCACGATTTCTTGGTTTTAAACAGGAACCTTATTGACAAAATATCAGTTTACATTCGATATTTCAATAACGAAGATGGACGACAATGAGTATAAACATCCCCAAAGTATCTTAACCGTGAAACATGGTACCTTTGGTGCTCTCGTGGGACGGCTCTGAGCTTGATTCACCATTGCCATTTGGATTTCTGCTATTCTCGAGCTGTGATGGTTTTAGGGCTGAATCATTTTCCAAACAACCTATAAGGGAGAGGATTAAACTTAGATTGGTTGCTTTCGATTTTATTTTATGAGAACCCTTTCGCATTTTTTGACGAAATTAACGGCAAAATATCGTTGTAACTTGACAATATTCAAAAGTCAACGTAAGAAAAGATGGAAACCCTTATCATTATTAAGGAACGAGTTTCAAATTTTATCAAAAATCAGAGCTTAGAGCTACAGAAAGAATGCCTAGTTCAAATAGTATAGCTCATGTAGACTATACAGAACTGTAATACTAATATGTCCGTCTGTATGCATTAAACTGACATATTACAGTTGGTTTTGTTGCCATGGTACCAGGTACATGTAGAACGTGTTCTGTCCTAACATTATTTAGGAATACACCCCACAAATTAGTCCAATTATAATGAATGTTTTCCTCGACAGCCCCGGGTGCAAATAAATATTGTGGGTTGTATTCCTGTCTTTTCACTGTAAACTTACTTGCAGTTGCAAGCATCAATTATCATCGTAATATGAAGAAAAATAACAACAATTCTACACAGGTTTTACAGTTTTATAGCTGATAACAAAACTGTATGCAGAGTTAGTAACGCACACTAATAAAGCTGACACAGCAACAAGAGAGAATAGTAGGAGCAGACGCCAGACATTGTGGCAACTAGTTGGCAAGTCGATAAGTGTTGTTAATCCGTTAATTGGAAGTAGTGATCTATCAGGTATCCATTAAGTACCAAGCAAACTGTTCATATCAACATCCATCATCTCAGTACATGAAATACCAGACAGCGCTTCAGACATAGTAATTTGCTTGACGTAGATTGTTAACTGTGGAATAACGACCAGCGTTCACAAAATTATCGGAGTATAACAACTTTTTTGCAGTTCTCGGATGATGCCGAAACTGTCAAAAGAGAAATCGTAGACGTGTCATGTCTGACATTTGTATTTTTGAGATATCACGGCCAAAAACTGTCATATTCATGAACTGTCATATTCATAAACTGTCATATTCATGTTATGATCTGACAAGCTGATCTTAATGTTAGCCCAGAGTTAACTGATAACTCTTACAGTTGTCCGGCGGTCAGACTAGTACTACACGACGGGGAAGTTATCAGGATTGGAATTTGACTTTAACGGCAATTCGGTACCGTAATCTGTCGATGGTCACATAACGCACGGTTAACGCACACTTAAGGGGACATACACTTAAACCATTTTTGCCAGGACCCGGGATTTGACTTCATATTATGAAAGTATAGATTACAACTGTAAGATTTGAGGCATTGAAAAAAATTTTTGAGAGTGCGCACATTCGAAAAAATTTTATTTTATTTTTCGAACGTTTTAGAAATTTTGAGAAGTCTGTCACTGTAATACCGATAATTCAGTCATTTTAAACGTTTTTTAGCTGATTTTTTACTGAACATTATTGACAATCCGTACAAGTAGCCCTTTAAAGGATTTTATAATTAAACAATAAATGACAATAAATTGTTTTTAAATACAATTTTTTCAATGCCTCAAATCTTATAGTAATTGTAATCTATACTTTCATAATATAAAGTCAAATCCCGGGTCTCGGCAAAAAAGGTTTTGGTGCATGTCCCCTAACGCACGGTTAAAGCACGCTTAACGGACACTTAAGGCACGGTTAACGGACACTTAACGGACACTTAAAGCACAGTTAACGCACAATGGCACACTTTAACTGGTTCAAGTTCCTCTGGCCAACTTTTGCTGTTTTGATTGGTAGATAATTGAATGATCACCACTGATCGATCTATTACAATTACACACATAACCTCGGTAGATGTTGTGGATATATCCAGAGTTTGTTAAAGAAAGATAAAAGGCTCGTGCTGACCAGTAAAGCAGTAAATCCCAAGGATTTATTCTGTTTATACATACAGATCAAGTGCTGGAGACGATTCGTGTTATAAAGATGTTAGACAATAAAGAGAATAAGTGTTTAGTTGTATAACTAGTTGGTATAACTAAATAAAGGATGTGATAATGCGATCTCCTGTTATTGATCATAAAGATGGTTAGTAATAAATCCAAACAGCCCCAGACTGGTGGTGATGATCGCAAAATAATCGTTAATTTTAATAATAAAAAGAAGAATCCCCTGCAGCTACAGACTTTACTAATACTATATTATGGCTATTTTGGGACACATTATGTCCTACACTTAAAGCTGAGATCAGAACGTGAGAACGCAGAAACATGAGTGATTTTAATTCTGATGGAAAGGTTAAAAACGTATCTTAACAAAGGCAAGACTGGAAGGGGGGAAGCCTGAAGAATTGTTGATATTTGGAGTTGCTAAATTTGTGTTGTAACTATTTGGCCTTGCAGGTAAGGATGGTTAGTGGTTAGCTCAGGTCGGCTAATGGATAGTTCCTGTTGTCTCACTCAAACCCGCCAATGATGTAATAACAAGCCCTGATGTAGTCTTTTCACTCCGATTTGTTGCTCAACGAGAGTGCAGTCTGTTTGGCAGGCTCCTGGGGGACATGTTCAAAACAAACAGAGAGACGAAAATACGGCTTATTCTTAATTCAGGATGTAGTATGCGATATATGTGTACTGTCTAGTTGATTGTTGAAGGCAGATATGAGGCACTAACTGCGGCACCAATGGCAAATAAATTAAATGCACTTCGAGCAATCTGTTTGACAATTAGAATCAAAGTCCGTCTAATTTACCGATATATCAATACCGTGTTTGAGAGGAGTTTGATCTCGCAGAAACATGGAAATGGCAGAATTAATTGTAAGGAACGTACACAATTTGCATATGCTGTTAAAGTGATAAACGATGGCACAAAAAATTGTAGCATTCTTAAATTTTTCAGCGTTAAACATAAAAAATACGAAAGTTATTGCTTTTATTCATCTAAATTTTGCTCGGCAATTTACTGTACCCTTTACGAGAAAGAATGTGATGAAATGCTGCCATATGCAAAGACATTCTGAGAATCTCTTCAGCAATCTGGCTTAGTCATAGTGACATTTGATTACAGTGATATTGATTACGCACTATATTGTATATAAGTCATATGGTTGTGCAACTTTCAAGAAGCCCGACGCAACTGGAAACGTTCGGCCACTAATTAAAGTAAAGGTAAAGTTCCGCTAATTTCGAGAAAAGGGTTCCAGTTGAACTTCTAGTTAAAAATAACTCTAACAAGCTGCACATTAATTGGGGTTTGTAAGACACTTTGCTGCAGCTGACTTAGTTCCTCTGTACTAAACCTACGTTCGTGATTTTAATTCGCGGTCAAATTGGTAGGACTAAATGTATTTCTATAATGTATAATTTAAATTAAATTTTTTGTTCAAAGTGTAAATTGGCCATTTGGCCCGGGATTAGCTAGGTTCTTTTTATTTCTTCAAGAAATAAGAAAGAGCCAGAAATACAAATAACAGGTAATACTCAAGAATATTTCCGGTTATAACAATTAGAAGAGATAGATACCGGACGGAGTTTTAACATTTAGAAGAGATAGATACCGGACGGAGTTTTTGTTTATAACCGGGTAGAAAGGGGAAAAAATACTTTTAAAATTTGTTCAATATAAAATTAAAATATAATCAGTGCTTTAAATAATTACAAACGAATCTCCGGAATAGCTGCAAACAAACGTTTAACAAATCACCATAACTGACATTAAGTTACTTTAATGAATGTACATGATTACTGAGGAAGTTTTAGATCCATAATTTGGTTAATTTTAAACAACAAAATAATTGCCTACAGTTACACACCAACTCTAAAGTCAAACCCGGACGACTTTAACAAGTTTTTGTCCGGGTACGTTGTACGTGTACGTATGAACAGTTTCTCAGCTAGGCAAAAGTTACGGTTCCTTTCTCCGGTTCTATCCAGAGAATGGACTGATTAAGTATAAGGAGTGATGACAGCAGACTCGTGGTATCGTCATACTCAAAGCCTGACCAAGTTGAACGATTGGGGGATTCTTTATTGGCAACATGTTACCCGTGTTTATCATATTTTCTAGGTATTTAGCTTTTGAACAAGTATTACACGTACGACGTTTTAATGATATTAGGTTGATGGATTACTCTGTAAAAACATCTCAAATGTCAGGTTAAAACTGTAGTGTTGAGAATACCTAGCTCCACCCAAGTTGGATTCTTATCCAGTGTCTACTATGTCAAATACACTGAGGAATCTAGATTTAGTTTTCACTAAATCGTGGTACATGTGACGTAAGTAATATAGCTTGGAGGACATTTTATCAACTTACATAATAATATTACATAATAGTATTGTGAAAATATACTGAGTAGAGTTGAGAAATTAAGGTTCCAATCTTTCAGAGGGCTTAGTTTGGCAATTATAGTTATACATCGTCCTAATCTGATCAAATATTGAGCATTTGGTTTGCAATCAAAGTTTAAAATTTTCCCCAAAAACCAATTAGTCAGTTAATTGGCGATGGTATGAAACCAAATTGAGGTACTGGAAGTCAAAATATCGAGAAAATTGTAAAATCGTATATTGTCCCATTCTCTGTCCCATTTTCAGTTTTTGAAGAGAAAATCTGCAGGATCGAAATTTTACAGTTTTGACTAAATTTTTGCCTGCAACCAATTAGTCAGTCAACTATAGATGGCAAATGACATGATTAAGGTGGTGGAAGTTTGATTTTGGTCAAAGGAAGCTCACAGCAGAAGGATTAACAAAACGAAAATCTGTATTTTCCAAACTCTGTCCTATTTTCAAATATGAAAATTTCTGAACACAAATTTGACAGATTGGATGAAATTTTTGCCCAGAAACCAATAAGTCAGTTAATTTACGATGGCATGAAACCAAATTGAGGTACTGGAATTCAAAATCCCGAGAAAAATTTAAAAATCGTATTGTCCCATTGTCTGTCCCATTTTCAGTTTTTGAAGATTCCTACTGTCAACTGTTTTGATTTTTTTATAACTATAAGATTGAAATTTTAATATTAAAGCCTATTTATTTATGAATTTTC